CTGGAACATGGACCACTCGCCGTCGCCGGCTAGCTGTCGGAATGTGGTCGCCGTCGCCGGTGGAACAAAAGGCACATGGTAATTTTTAGTTTGGTAAGTAATTTTAAGTTTGAATCTCCCGTTATGAAACCCTAATAATACGTAAATTACCCTGTCTCGCCTCATCTTCATAAGGCGTCGCCTCGGGCTACGCTGCGCTACATCCGAGGTCCGCCTCGCCTCAAGGGTATGAGGCGTCGAAGCCCCGCCTCGCCTCGCCTCGCGCCATGGCGGCGCCATGGCGCGCTATTTTAATCACTGGCTCTTCGTGGGAATACCATGCAGTCTATCCAGTATAATGACTTAAAATCATAATCGCAGCATGAACATAATCATATAGTCTACCTCCTATATCGCCCTACGCTCGTGTGTACACCCTTAACCGTCGGGACAAGCCCATTCATGGGAGCTATAGGCACAAATAGGAAAACCGTCAGAACTCCATCAACGGGAGAACCTTCTCATAGATTAATGATTCATATACATACATTGACTATCAAGCCAAACAATTATAACGACTAACATACATTGTAAGGTTTATCAACATCCACCTAGACTGAGTGAACTGAAAGAATGAACGTGCGACTGAATGAGGGCTTAACTTCTCTTTAATCTACAATTTAATTACTTATCTTATTAAGGGCGGTGAAAACAGGCAAGGACAATTAAAAGCATATAAAGCACATAAATTACATATATAAAACATTTTAACAATTCCACAAGAACACCCAACAAAGCCAAAACAAAATCATGAACACAATTAAATTGTCTCCTATCTCTTGATACATCTAAGCATGCTTTTTATTTGTTTTTCCCACTTAATAAACTGAAACTTTAGTTTCTGGAACTGAACATAACATATACAAGTTTTCTTCTTCTCTTGAACTTAACAACTAAGGCATGCCTTTAAACTGATCTCAATTGAAATAACACGTGCCAAACTCGCAACTTCCAGCATTTAACAACTAAAAACAGAGGTTCTTCATTTGGACATTAACAAGGTCCACAAGCAAATCAAAACATGCCTTTCTTTGTATAAAACTAAGGCACACACGCAACAAACCTTTAGCCACTGAATCTAAGCATACACTTAACATGAAGTACGTACTCCATATTTCAGCATACAAAATAACACATTAACTCAGCCCAAGGTATCTCAAACAGCAAATCAAAAAGGCACAATACATCACAAATACATACTTTCTTCATTTACAAGTCAAGCATGCTTTTAGAACCTCCTATTAACTGAAAATAAAGCTCATAAAATCAAGCTATCCACGGCCAAATAGAGGTGCTAAAGCTCAGCTAAAATACCTTTCCCGTGTATGAAATTTGGCAAGGTAAACAGGGCTAAGAAGAGGGCTCGGGTTTCTTGCTGCTGCCCGGCACTCGACTCGGCTCGCGGCAGCTGTCCGCGGTGGCTCGGACGAAGGCGGAAGAAGTGAAGGTCTCCGGTGGAAGAGGGGTCGCCGGGCGGTGCGAGCGCAGAAGTCGCGGCCCGTCGTTGGTTGAGTCTGCCGAAACTCAGCGTGGCCGAACGATGGGCAGAAGTCGCGGGTCGATGAGCTGGCCGCGTTGTTCACGGCGAGGCCCTGTGCTCGCGTGAGTTTCTCGGAATGCCGGCGATGGCTAGTCGACGGAGCTCTGCTGTTCACGGCGGGGCTGGACAGGGCTCTTTGCTACGATCATTCGCGGTGGTTTTCAACGGCGGAGGCTCGATGATGCTGCTCCGGGGCGCTCGCGAAGGCTGCTTTGGGACGCCGGCGATGGCTGAAGGCCGGAAGGAAAAGAGGGCGAGGAGTTGGGTTGGGGCTGTTCGATCGTGAAGGTGATGCAGGGAGTTGGGGCAAATCGCGAGAGAGAGGGTGACTTGTACGGGCTTTTGGAGATTCCATGGGCCAAAACTTTTTTAAGCTAATTGGGCTTAAGGGCAGAAATTTTAATAACAGAAGTGGGCCGAATATATTTAAAGTGAAAGGGCCGAAAAATAATCAAGTTCAAAAGGAACAAGCTTTGGCTAAATAAAGTGGGTCGAGAGGCGATTGAACTTGAGATCGAAAACGAACGATTTCTGCTTAACGAATAAATAAATAATAAAATAAATAATAATAATTGTAATCAGGGCCTGAAATTATGTCAGTTACCGATTTTTCAACCGCAGAAAGGCCGATAATTTAATTCAAACAGGTCTGAAATATTTAACTCAATTGGGTCGGAAAAAATTAGCAATAATGGGCCGAGTATAAATCTCAAAGCTGGCTTGAAAAAATGACTCAAAAATACGACGCGATTACATCAAAGATGGGTCGAAATGGATCTAATTTAATTCTACTCGATTGAACCGAAATATAACCAAACTAACTAAGAAATAAATAAAATTAATTCTACCAAGTCATACACATAACATAAAAATATAAAAGCAAGCACATAAAGATATAAGATAATGCAATTATATCAACAAGACAATCACATAAAATAAAAACGAGCACATAATAATCATCGAAGGCAATTAACAATAAAAGAAATAAAAGCAAAAAATAATAAAATGCAAGCAATAATATAAGAGCAAGTAAGTAATATATAAATGCGAGAAATTTAAATAATAAACACGAGAAACTAATATAAAACGAAAGGGACGCTACAAAGGTCAAAGGCATCAAGGCCAAACCTCAGTTTCAAGCCCAACGTCTGAGGAGCCTTACTTTTAGGCCCAACGTCTCGAGGTGGCTCAATTTGTGGACCACATAGTCCACCAAACTAATGAGCTGCGAAGTCCTCAGTTTGCAGAGGAAAGACCTAGGTTGTCCGATCTCTATAAAATGATGACCTAGATCAAGGCAAGGCCAGACTCTCTTCTCCTACTCATACTTTACAATCGCCACCCTAAACCCTATTCCAATTTAAGCATCCGATGAACTATCCCTGGGGACAACCCCGGGCCTCTATTTTGTAAGCGTCGGAGGATAGTATAAGGAGGACATCGAAGCATTCATCGTCGCCACGTGTCATCTGACTAACGTCATGTATTTCTTGTATCATGGTGGGACGAAGACTTAGTAAAATGTTCATTGCGTCAACGAACGGAAGGACACGAGGCATTTCGCGACACAATCGACCCCAAAGAAGCCAGACGAATCATCCAATACAATTTTTTTTTTTTTCAAGTGAACAAATTATTTAAAAAACTTGAAATGTACAGTCGGGTAACCAACTAGTTGCACAACTTCTTCCCTAGAAAAATTGAAGAAGAAATCAACGAAAGAGTCGCAAAAGTGCTCTTCCTACAAAGCCAACATGGCTTACACCAACCTAACAAGAAACTGAACCAAACAAGAAGCAACAAGAAGAGAACAAAGTTTTTAAAGTCCAAATATCATACACTACATAGCCAAGCTTAAAAGAAACAGAAAAGTGCAAATTCAACAACAAAATAACCTCATTTGAATCCAAGTAGCAAGCAATAATTTCCCTCTAAGCCTTCTGTGCTGCTTCTTTCGAATTCTCCTCACAACAAGTACTGTTGCTTCCTTCTTGGACTCAACCTCCACCTTAACAGCTGACCAAGTATGAACAATCACCCCATTCTTCGTAGCAGTTTTGCAGTCCCCAAATCAGAAAACGGAGTACTGACAAAAAGTGCAATCTGTCATTCTCCCACCACAATATTTTGTGCTTGGGAACTTGCAAATTTCTCAAATGAATGTGTAACCCCAAGCTCTGACTGCTCTGAAGAAGAAGCTTGAAACCAGACAGTCGTTGCTCTTTCTACCACCAGACTCTCTTGAAATCGTTCATCTCTAAACAACAAATTATTTCTGACCTTCCAAATGCTCCACGGCAGGCTAAGAGAAATAATAATCCTGTCTTGAAGATGTTTAGCTCTAGGGATGTTGCAGGCTTCTTCCCGCCACTGATTGAAACTCCTGTTCTGAACTTGCAAGAATCTCCACTCTACTCCCAAAAGTTTCCAACATATTTTTGTTTTGTAACAATTGAAGAACATGTGATCAATATATCTTCTGCCTCGTCGCCACACAGAACACAGACTTCATCCACCTCTACTCCTCTTCTTCTTCTCAGTTGGACTTTGGTGCTTAGATAACTATGATAGGCTTTTCATAAGAAGTTTCTTAGTTTGACTGGACTAGAAGTCTCCATGTTTTCCTCCACATTTTTACCTGTTTTTCATCCACTTTACTAGAGCTCACCTAGTCACTTACATATGAATTATGAGCAATGATAGCATCATAAGCTAATTTAACAGTGAACTAACTTATCCTTTTTCCCAAATGACTTTCATGGATTTTCCTAATTGACTCGGCATCATAAGGGTTGAAAGTTTGGGCAATCAAGTCCATGTTTCATTCCCTACCCCTTGCCTTAATCAACTCATAAACTCTCACTAGTCACTGAACTAGGCTACTACCGAACAGCTCCTACCTTATATTTGAGACAAGATGAAATAGCTATAGATCTGAACCTAAGTACTCCTCCCGAGGCGCAGCCGAAGCTGATAGTTTAGTCTACATTCCGGCATCCAACCCTTTTTAGGAAACAATCTTCCGAACAGAGGGGGTCTGTAATCGAATGTTTGGTTTAAAAGAAGCTCTATTACGTAGCCACGAAGAGCTCAAGATTTCATAGCCCTACCTTCCCCCACCTTAAATCTACCCCTCTTAAAAGACTCCTTAACACTAAGCCAATATTTCCACATCCACGAGTCCCCATATTTCTTCCTAACCTCTACCAATCTTAGCTTATGAAAAATATCTACGCTTAACAACTCTGCTCATGAGGAGATTGGGTTCAGTAATTAACCTCCACAATTGTTTAACTAGGAGAGCCTCATTGAAGGTAACTAAATCCCAAACTCCTAGCCCCTCAACGTCTTTAGACTTAGTTAATTTTGCCCAAGGTGCCCAATGTATCTTGTTTGTTCCTTTTTTAGTTTTTCCCCACCAAAAAGAAGCAAAAGATTTAAAAACCAGTCCCTGCAAGTTGAGACTGGCATTTTGAAGTAGGACATCACATAAATGGGAAGAGAACCTAGTTCTGTCTTAACTCTCTTTGATTTACCAATCCCAGTGGGCAAACCTAAATAACTACCAGACGAAGAATTCTTAGAGAAAAAGATAGATGACTTCTCGACAACTTGACCAGAAGTAGAACCATAGCCATGCAAAATACTCGTCAAAATCTCAGCTTGATCAACAGAAGCTTTACAAAATAAAATGGCATCATGAGCTAAAAACAAAAACAAATGAGTAAGAGTAGGAGATATCTTGCTAATTTTCATAAAAGACGATAAAGATCATCAAACTAGCTACCATATCACAATTATGTAGTGCCACGGCCAAAACCTCAAATGTGGCGTCGTACATAAACCACAATTTATAATACAATCCCAATCATCCAATACACAGTCAAAAAGACGATAAGAATCATCAAACTAGCTATAATACAGTCCAAAGCCTCACATGTGGCGTAGTATATATAACCACAAGCCTTGGAAAGCAGAAACCAAACATATAATCAAGAAGTTGCGCCTGGATCACTAATAACACCAAGAAAGTTATCTTTTATGGTACCAATGCAGAACTGCAAAATCAAACTAAATATTAGAGCAGTGGATTACATAGCTTCAGAGAAATCATGCTTGTAGAACCCAAAAGTAAAAATAAACTCATTAGAGAAGCATCTTGCGATAGCAGTTTTCTTTTGCAAACCTTCCAGTGCTCCGGTTAATCAGGTTTGGACAATACAAAGGAAATCAATTGTATATATCGAATAAAACTGCTGAGGAATGAGTAGAGGATTAAACAAAATGTTGATTGTTGTGATTTGCGACCTACACTTCTCTACAATCTATCTCATTTCCAGTAAAAGAGATTCTTGAAAGGAGTAACATCCTTTAGAAGGATATACTTCACCAACAATTTGAGCAACATTCATATTCACCTTCAAATCAATAAAGCTAATTCTACAAGGATTTGACTACATAATGTGCTAACAAACAGATATAGATGCCAGAGTAATTCTGCCAATTATGATGCTAAAATACGCACAAGGTCTAGACATAGCTACACAAATTTAGAAGGAACCAACAATATAATCAAAACAAGATACGATAAACACAAGCATAAAGTACGACAATCTATCAACACATAGAGGACTTACAATTTCTGTTGCATCCACGCGCGTTCCAATTATTTTCAGTCTAACTTCACTTTCTTTCTGAATTTTGACCTGTCAAACATTTGAAATGCTTATTATTACAACGGAGACACGGAGCCTATAATAAAAAAGAAAAGAAAACCAGATGCTGAACGCAGGATGATCGAATGGCCGAAAAATGTGTCTCTGAAATGTATTAAAATTCACATATTCTGAACATTCACAAGCAAAAATAAATAAATAATAAAAGATAGAAGGGCAAAGTGAGAAGGTGGTACGTACAGATCCATCTGATGTTGTGTAGTTAGGCATATCTCCAGATTGGAACTCCATATCATCAGGTATCAGCTAAAGATACAGAAAAAAAGTTTCAACTTAGAGGACCAAAGCAACTGGGCAGAATAAAAAACTCACACAAACAGAGAGCTGCGTACATGGTAAAGTTTACAAGAGCAGTTGCCTGGAAGATAAGCTAATCACATATCCTAATGAATAAATATTAAAATGTGGTTGACTATTAAAAAAGAAGCATAAACACTATGAGAGCTGATAGTTTCCCATCAATGTTACTAATGGCAGATGGCGGTAAACGGCGGCAAGCTAAAATCAAAAAGTTAGCATAGACAGTTGCTCATAAAAGCGGATAAAGTCAAGTCTGTCAACCCACCCTCGCAAAAGGTAAATATTTCAGTGAATATTTATATGCTACATATGATTGCAGATGCCGATCTCAGATATCTAATGCAAGCAAACTTTTTTCACGAGAGAGAGCTCCATGGAGAGAACAGGCTAGCCCAAACTAATAGATAATGCATAAATCAAGATTCATCACAGCTGAGATAAACTTAATAAATGTTAACCCAACATCTATACACAAACAATGGTATTCCACATGATACTATCACCCAAAGAGCAATGTTATCAAATCTCTGGGGTTATTGCGTGACAGATTTCTGCCTAACCACCATTGGAAATTTGTGAAGGATGGCATTATGGCAGCGCCACAGAACGCCATGGATGGATTTCAACCAGCCACCATTTTCATCATACGCCATTGATAACATTGCCAGAGAGTTAAAATTGTCTACTCTCATTTAAAACTCGACGTCTACTACAACACATTTATAGTGGAAATTAGAGATTAACAGACAATAGCAGGCAGCAAATAATAGGTAAAGTAGGGGAAAGAGTCGCATGCTAACTTATATTTTACCTGATGTGTATGACATAAGTCATACAATTCTACAAAGATTCATATGAATAGGGGTGCACAATGACAGACTGAGCAAGTATAAGTATCTGGTCAGAGTACCCTAGACAGATCACTAATTTGTAACAAAGTGTTATATCATCAAAGCCTCAAAGGTACCCTACAAAAAGATGAAAAAGGAAATTTAACCCTAAAAATACAATCTAGGAGCTTGCACTACTTGTCAACTATCATTTCATATCACATTATAAAGGTACAAGTAATACAAATTCAGGACTCAAAGGAGTCATCAAATCAAGCTTAATAATTATGCTGCAAATCACATTTTCAAGCACATTCTACAAATAGAACAAACACATAAAATTATCTAATCATTGTACTTTCTCTGGTTGGTTGTTGGTATATCATAAATTTTCTACCACGAGACACCACTCAAGAATCAGTTTCACTCCAAAATCATGAAATCTTTTCGGAATAATTGACTTCACTTCCACATACAAGTAGCTATATGGACGAAATTATACTTAACCGAGTTGCTTAGCTGCAATGAAACTATTATTTGCAATAGCTATTCCAAGCGAACATGGTTTTATCCTAAGAGTGATGGACAAACATGCAACAAAAAATTACAGCTCAAAATTAAACCACTAACATGATTAGATACAAAAATTTGGACTGGTCCTGCTTCAGCGAAAAATCCCATCTGCAACAATTCGAAGGCAATGTGTAAATCATAAGAGATCCTCACATAAAAGCAAATATGAATAAGAAGTAAGAATAAAATATATGACCTTGTTAACCATTGTAACAACCGCTTCCAGAATCTCCCCTTTAAACGGTCGAAATACGACACACTGATACTTAACTGGAAAGGTAACAAATCCTGTTCCATCACGAATTAACCCTTTCCCAACACTGTCAATACCAGTTATAGCCACAATGAACCCATGACGACCACTGTAAACCCAACAAAAAAAAAAAACATAAGCGCTACTATAGAAGTTAGTAAAAAATAAAAGAAAGTGGTGAAATGCACGTGTTAGTTAATGACCTGCAAGTTCCCTCAACATCTTTCACGAGCTTTGCCACAAGCTTGTCACGTAGATCACGGCCGAAGTGACGGGGGTGAAGCTGCATATTCCGCTCTAGTACTATGTGGAAAAACATATTTTTTCTCCCCTTTTACGGAGATAAACTATTCCTCAATAATCTCTGAAATCTGAAAAAAAATAAATAAATAAAGGAAATCAGATATTAGAGATCATATGCATAACAATAACTATACAAGAGCATAAGACAAGACGAGAGTTGCCACAACAGCCAGAGTTCAAGAGCACAGTAAGAGAAAACTATACAAGAGCATAAGATAGGATGAGAGTTGCCACAATAACAGGGAATCGAGAACACAGTAAGAGGAAGCAGATGTGCATTAGATGAACAATTAGAGATGTCAAAACGGCCGGCCCGTAAACCGCCAAATCTTATTGGCCCAGCCCGTCCCTGCCTCGGCTCGCGGGTTTGGTGGGCTGGATCCGCCAGGTTTAAAATAAATGCTCTAAACAGTTACTCACAAATCACAGATTCACATCCAAATCACATCAGTTAAATTCCACTGCCAAATACAACAAACTCACAAATCAGAGCCAAATTCAACTCACAGTTACGCCTGCTCACATGGTTCACACACAGTGACAAGGAGCTGAGATAAATAACATATACACACACAATCACACAGAGCTACTGCCAAATCACAGCCAAATTCAACTCACAGTTAAAGCCTGCTCACATGGTTCACACACCGTGACAAGGAGCTGAGATAAATGACATATATACGCACGATCACACACACAGAGCTGAGAGAATAGTACCTTGCAGGCCGCCGAGGAGGTCGCCCAACGTGAGGAATGGACCGTCGAGCGTCGTATGAAAGGGAAGAGGTGGAGTGCCGCCGAGTTACTGAAATATCGGTGGAAGCTCTCAGTCAAGCTACGACTGGAAGCTCTCCGTCGACGTGGGGCGCCGCCGAGATACGTCTGGAAGCTATCCGTCGATCGACTGAGATTTGGGCTGCCGGCGATTGAGAGTAGAGCGGAATATGAGTGTCCGGCGGCAGCGGACGGCGAGGGCGGAGTGCGGTAGACGGGCGCCGTACGATTTTAGGATTTGGAGTTTGGACAATTTGAGGTTTTAGGCAGCGAGGCAGTCCGAGAGACAAGAGCCCGTTCTAAATCCCATTAAGGACCCAATTGCAAATTGGGTCACGTAGAATTGGCTGGGCTATTGTAAAATTAATCTCATAGTAAGTTCTTTACTATTTTTTGTTGCGATTTTGACGTCGTATACAACATGTGAATGTGATAGTAAAAAATTAGTTTTGAGAGAAAAAAATATTATTTATAAAAAATTATTTAATTACTATACAATGTTTTCTGTATTTTGAATTATACTTTTTATTAAATAATAAATATATTTTGTAAAAATAGTTATTAATTTTACTATAATTATAATGGTTGAATCGTTGATAAAAATTCAAAATATAACTCTAAAGGTTAATAAAATTTTAAAAAATAAAAAATACAAATAATATCAACTAATATTGTTTTGAAAACCGAGCCAAATTGGTTGTTGGATCGAGAATCGGTAAACTAGACGATTCGATTCCTTTAAACTATTGGTTTCCAATCATTGGCGGACTTACATAGGGGCCCGTAGGGGCTCTTATAGAAATTTTGAGTAGAATAATATGTATATATGTTATTTGTATAAATGTATTATTGTAGACATTAAAAAAATGCATGTTATTAATTATTTTGCAAAGTTATTTCATTATAAAAAAAATAAAAATGAAATGTTTAGAATTATTTAAATTTTAATAGCAGTACTTTGTGACCCAGACCGGCCCGACGGGTCAACCCGGGACACGGAGCCGGAACTAGTCCGGGTGGGCTAATTGGACCGGACAACAACGGACCCGGTCAAACCTGGTCAAAAACCCGGCCGACCCGACCTTGACCCAGTCGACCCGGGACCCAACTGGGTCAACCCGCTTGACCCGATCCCTGTATGTATTTTTTTATTTTATTTTTTATTTTTTAATTTTCTTTTTCTTTTTTAAAATAAAATTATATATATATATATATATATATATATATTTATATGGTAAATATATACATATTATTTCCACTTTAATATACAAATTTTACATACAAAATATTTAAATTTGTTATTTTTATGTATATTTATATATCACAAAATACTCTATAGAATAAATCGGTATTTCCTCTAGAGGTAAGAAGATTTATAATTTTATAAATTTTAAAATTAATTATCTGGTTCAGCAAATGACCCGGTGACCCAGTGGTTGAACCGGTGACCCGGAGACCTGCCCGGGTCGATTACTAGGCCGGGTTTAAAAACTATGTTTAATAGTATGTTATTTTTTAAGTTGTGGAATTATGTTTATATTATACTCAACTTCTTGTTTATTTCATTTTCCTTCAAAAAATACATAAAAAAAAAACACTTTTACATAAATGTATATACTATAGGGATTGGATCAAATGTGTCTCTATTCTTAAAATGAGAATGTAAAACACAACCCTAGCTATTAAATAAGAAACAAGATGTTTGGTCAAGATTTAATATTTTTAATTTTGTAATTGGTTAAATATTGATTTGATTGTAGACCTTCGGTGTTGACCGTTTACCGTAATTTATGCCCCCGTTGCCCTAAAAGTCTGCGTTCGCCCCTGTTTCCAATAAACCGGTTATAATTGATTGATCAAACTGGTCAATTATATTTTTTTGAAATAAGTAATACATATTTATGTAATTTTTAATATAGAATAATATATAAATTTAAATATATTTTGATATATATAAATTCAAGTATATTTAAATTTATATTATTATTATTATTATTATATATATATACTAGTACAACACCCGTGTATTACACGGGTGCTTGTTAAAAAATTATTCTTAAATTTTAAAATTAATGAGAAAATTATATTAAATTTAGTTTACTTTTTTACAAAAAAAAAAATATATTACTATATATTTTAGAATGATGTGTTACTTATGACTTACATGTGTTATATTATATTAGTTTTTATTAACTTATATCATATAACTACTTGAAATATAAATATATTAGTTGATACATAATTTTATTTTTCTAATTAATATTAAAAATAATTTTATTATTGTTATAAAGATAAATTATTTTTTTTATACATACAATATGGATGTTAAATCGAAACTCATCAAAAAAAGATTAATTTGATATATTACATATGTAAAACTGATAAAAAATACAAAAGTTATTTAACTTTTAAAATACATATACAATTCAATAGTTATAATAAGGAATAATATTAAAATATAATTAATGCATGTAACAAGACTATAAATAATCAACATATTTATGGTAATCCAAGCCTAATTATTTTTAGTTTGAAATTAAATTGAAATTTACCCAAACCTCAAACCTAAAAATGAAGCATGTAATTTTGTCACATAGGATTCCGAAGCACCAGAAACAGCCACGAGGCTCAACAATTAATACTAGTCCAACGCCCGTGTATTACACGGGTGCTTGCTAATTTTTTATTAAAATTTAAAATTAATGAGAAAAATAATTGAAAATTTAAATACCTTTTATAAAATATATATTATTATATATTTAGTATGAAACTTTTTATCTGTGTGATTTACTTGTGTTATATTATAATAATTTTTTTAACTTACAACATATAACTACATTAAATTAAATATCAATTGAGAAATAATTTTATTTTTCTAATGAATTTTAATAATAATTATTATTATTTATTATTATTATAAAGATAAATATAATTATTTCATATATACAATATGGATGTCAAATCGAACATCATCAAAAGATGATTAATTTGATATATTACATATATAAAACCGATAAGAAATACAAAAGTTACAAACTTTTAAAATACATTTACAATTCAATAGCTAATTGAAGGAAATAAATCAAAAGTAAGGGATATATAAGTCATTTAGTGCCTCACTATTTAAAATTACTAAGAATTAAAGGATTATATTAGTACAAGTGATATTAAAATACCTAAGTTAGCTAAATATATTTAAGAAATGTCCTAACTTAAATTATTAATTATTAATATATCAATATTATTTGTCCAAACCTAATTACGAAGCATGATTCTTTGCCAAGTAGGATTCCGAAGCACCAGAAACAGCCACGTAGGCTCTGCACATTCGAGAATTATATATAAGG